CACAGTACTGCTGTCTTAAGGCTTAGAGCTCTTTGAATACCTTGCTAGAATAATACTGCTCCATCTTCTGGCTTTATAATAGGCTTGCAAGATGAAGGATAGTAACAGATTTTGGCGGGGAGGGGAATATAAACCAGTTTGGGAACAGAGAATATAATCCCTGCTATAGCTACTCCCAAATTGCCTTTTCTTGTTTTTCTTTTATAGCTCTGTACCATTTGGTAATGTTGATGAGCTCTTGCTGCTTGAAACTCTTGTCTTTTGACTTTTGAGAGATTATACTCCTTGGTATCCTAATGATGTGCTAACAGCGTCATTTAGTTTTTTTGTGTGTAGCTCTTTTTCTGTTCCTTACCTAACATTCCATCTTTAAGCATAAATCTCATTTTCCCAAGGTTTCTGGCCTTCTTAGCACATTTTTCCAGGGCAAAGTCTTTGATTTTCACAATTTCTTCTGGGCCATTGATTCCCAAACCTGTATATCTATATACCCTAATCACTCTTGAGTGTTGCACCCATCTGCATGTCCTGCTGGCCCCCCATATTTAACAGCTTAAAGAGAAAATTTGTCATCTCTCTGCAAAGCCAAGCCAACATTTCCTCCTAACTTACCCTTATGCTTTAATTGACTTTTGTACCCCAAAGTCAACTTTGACCTTCTTTTCTTCAAACTAGATTCAAGGTCCTCCAAACATGATCTTGCTCACCTTTTTAGCCATCACTTCCAACACTCCCCTTTCCCAACCCTACCCTCTCCAAACTCCACTACTTGTTTCCCATCGTATTTCCCAGAATTTTTGTCTCTGAGACTTTGCTTAATCTCATTTCTCTGCCTCAAATGCCCCTCCCTTTCCATCTGGTACAATTCCATCCATTTTTTAAGGGCTATCTTCATTGCCACACAAAACCTTTCCAGAGCCAATACCCCTGTATAACCCCTCCTTTCTCTGAAGTCTTGTACTAGGCCAGAACATGCCAGGCACTGTACATCCAGCATCTCAGTTTACCCTCTCTATAACTCTGCCTGTGAGGCAAGCATTATTACCCCATTTTGCAGATGAAAAAACTGAGGCCCAAGGTTGTATAGTTAGAAACTTGTCTATGGCTTTTGTGGAATTGTACTCCTAGATGTCCTAATTACATGCTGATAATTACATTTCAGTTTGTCTCTCTGACTCCTCTTCTATTTTTCACCTCCTATTGTCATTGCTACTTTCTAAAGTAGTAAAGCCCAGAATTGAAGGTGGGTTTGCCTGCCCATAACCACCTTTGCATTCTGCTGGAAAGACATGCATTGTTTGTACCTGGAAACCCTTTGTTCTTCAGATAAGAACTAAAGGTGAATCACAGTGAGCAGATCCTTGCACACAGTAGGAGCTCAATGAATGAATGTTGGATGGAAGATGGATGAGCAGAGCAAAGTAAGTTTAAATGAAAAAAAAATTGTAGCAAGTTAAAAGTTAATTCTGTACACAAATGGAAGATTTGGAACCAATTTCCAGGTTAAGTTTAGTTAACATTTTAAAAACAACTCAGAAGATGAGGGAAGAACATCCCTTTGCTCCTGTTTGTGTTTGTGAGGAGAGAACGTGGGAGCCCCACACAGCTGTTAGCCCTTTCTGGATTAGCATCCCTGTCACCTCCGTGCACATACATGTCAGCTCTCAGATCAGTGTTGTATAGCTTACAAAGCAGATGATAGAGTAGAATTATCCCCATTTTATAGGTGAAGGAACTGAGATCCAGAGGCAGCATAGTTTATAAGTTAAGAGCAGAGTCTCTAGAGTCAGACTGTTCCTGTATTGGAATAATGGCGTCAGTAGTTATTGGCTGTGTGAACTTGGGCAAATTAACTTTTTGAGCTTCAGCTTCCTCACCTGTAAGATAGGAATAATAATAGTTTTTTCTTAAAGGACTGCTGTGAGGCTTAAATGAGCTAATGTTAATAACGTGTTTAGAACAGTGCCTGACATATAATAAGTGCTCTGTATTAGCTAACGTCATAATTATCATTACACCTTTAGCTAGTAGTAGAACAAGGTCTTAATTTCAGATTATTTTTTCTGTCAATCTTCTCTCTCTATGGTATTATGTTAGAAAAAAGTCATTGGTCTAGGAGGCTGACCATTTGATGACTGTAGGCAAGTTACTTTTTTTTTAACACAAGCAACAATCAGGTTTAAACCTGATCTATGTAATGAGGGCATAAAGGTGATGATCTTTAAAATTCTGTTCAATTCTGACAGTCATTGATTCTAAGTAGGCCCTGACAACAGGCTTGCAAGTTGGTTAGTTGTTTTTGTGACCACTGGGTCCTGGATTGGCTTTGTCCAGGGTATAGGTGAGCCCTGTGACTTGAGGGCCCGGGTATAGCAGCTGGACTAAATGGGGGACAGAAGTCAGCTAACTGCTTCTGGGAAAAGCCAAGCATGGAGTTCCTAAAAAGAAGAGTGCAAAGTCAAAAAGTATAGACAGTGAAATCAGCCTGACCTGGGCCTGGGGGAATCTCAGAGAGCACCACAGATAGTGTCCTGAGCAGAAGGTTGGTAATTGATGCTGAGATACTCTTTGACCCTTGATAAAAAGCTATAGATATAACTTCAAACCACAGGTCTTAATGTTGCTCTGGGTTGGGGCTGTATGTGCTTATTGAGTTCTAACAATGCCCACTTGGGACCCATCTTTTCCAGGAGAAGGGAGACTTCTCTATAAAAACGTACTTTAGTAGGCCAGTGACCAGCTATTGTTTTTCTTCATTGAGGCCAAAACAAGGAGAAATGACTTTTAGTACAATTGGAAGAAAGCAAGTTCAACATAAAAATGAATGTCCTCAGTGTCAGGGGCACCTATGATTAACAGTGGCTGTCTAAATCTCCTTTAGGTTTCTTTAAGAATAGGAGCCAACTGGCTTATGATGTCATAGATGGAGTTCAGTATAGATAATGAGTAGACATTGGTAGTACAGTTTGATAAGCATAAGAGCACATGAAGTTAGAAGACTCAGCTTCATAATGTATTACTTGTCTAATTGGCTGAAGGACCGGCTCACCTTTCTGAGCCTCAGTTTCCTCATCCTTAAAATATAGGTAATTGGCCAGGCACAGTTGCTCACACCTATAATCCCAGCACTCTGGGAATCTGAGGCGGGTGGATCATTTGAGGTCAGGAGTTTGAGACCAACCTGGCCAACATCGAGAAACCCCCAACTTTACTAAAAGTACAAAAATTAGCTGGGAGTGGTGGCATGTGCCTGTAGTCCCAGCTACTTGGGAGGCTGAGGCACCAGAATCGCTTGAACCCAGGAGGTGGAGGTTGCAGTGAGCCAAGATTGTGCCACTGTACTCCAGCCTGGGCAACAGAGCAAGATTCTGTCTTAAAAAATAAAAATAAGTGAATGAATGAATTGATGAATGGACGGTAATAGTGAGGCCCAGTTTATTCCATAAGGATCAAATGATGTAGATGTGAAAACACTTTGCAAAGAGTAAAGCATGAGGTATTTGAAAGGTGGCATTGTGAAAGGTCCTGCTGGAAATTGTTTCTGTATCCATCATGAAGAGCTCTCCCTATGCCTTACCTTCCGTGGAAGGCACAAAGACGAATCCTAAGCCATGGCAGATACATCAGGCAGGATCTGAACAGAACATGTTAACTTAAGTCAAATATCAGTGTGTGTGTATGTGTGTGTGTTCATATGCGTTGTGCATTTATTTTGAGACCCTAGAGTTATTCTGTGGCTAGCATTTTGGAGGGCAGATATATGAGAGAGGATGTATATGCCATAGACTATCTCTGTTTTCTTGAAGTTTGTTTTAGTTTTGGTCTTATGGAGCCACTATTGCCTTGAGGAAAGTAGGCTGATGGAAAAGCTGACTTCTAGAGGACTTGTTCAGAAATTCAGTGCTGGAGAGAGAATGCTTGAGTCTCTTTGTCTGACAGGCCATGTGTTCTCTATTCTGGAATCTATTACCCCAAATGCTGAGAAGACGGATGGCCCATACAAGCTGGAACAGTTAAGGGAAAAAGAACAAATAACACAGTGGTCAGGATGGTAGAGAGAGAGGCAGACTAACCCCCCACCCCATCACTGTCAATGTGCTTAGATGAGTTTCATAAATGTGTGTTTGCTCATATGGCAGTGGGATAGATGTCTGCCTGCTCTTGTGTGGAGCCCAGTCCTGCTGGCGATGAAGTGAGCAGGGTTAGGGTCCATTCCATGCACAGGTCCTTTCTTGCTGGGTGATCTCTAGCTCATCTGTTCACTTCCTTGTTAAGTTTTGCTATCCATCAAATGCAGAAGTCAGCCCAGACCTCTCCCCCTACTTTATCTCCCAGGATGGTTATACAAATTGCTGAGAGAATCTGTGTTAAAGTTGAGTTTCTTGGGTGCAAGGTATCACAGAAAGCCACATTCTTTTCTACCCATGACCTCTCTGGATGGCATCATGTGTGAGTGAGAGCAGGAGGCTGCAGGACTGGGGTCCATTATGTGTAAGAATGTTATGGTCTGTTACCCCAGGGGGAGGGGCATGGTGGGGTTAAATAATGTATCACCAACTCTCAATTGGTCAGTTCCAGGGAGGAGGAGGAAAGGGCAGGCGCACAGGGAATTGAAAGCAAACAAGCTTGAGTCTCATTTTAGCCGTTGATTTCAGCCTCTCCACCCATTCCAGACCAAGAGCTGCCTTGAAGCACCAAGGACAGACGGACTGGAGCTTTCTTTGTTCTCTGTAGGAGGAGTTCATGAGTAGGGATAAAAAGCATGAGGCATATGTAGTATGTATTCATATTCTGGGTCATACCATGTACTGGCTAACAGAGAGTTGGCAGTATTGTTTGTCTTGCGGTTCAATAGAACTCGTGTTCCAGTGCCCTCCCCCTCACCTCTGTCACCACTTGAGCATATGAGTTTTTCTATAAGTAGTAAAGCTCTGTGGGTGGGGGAACGGGTAAACAAGGTAGCTGTGTGGACTGAACACATTCTCATTTTGTCTCCTAAGCTGATCACTGGAGATTCCATCGTTAGTGCTGAGGCAGTATGGGATCACGTCACCATGGCCAACCGGGAGTTGGCATTTAAGGCTGGCGACGTCATCAAAGTCTTGGATGCTTCCAACAAGGATTGGTGGTGGGGCCAGATCGACGATGAGGAGGGATGGTTTCCTGCCAGCTTTGTGAGGGTGAGTGTCAGTCTTCACTCTCCTCTACTCTTTCCTTTGCTGCCTGTACCTGGCTTCCCCTTCACCAGCCTCTGTTCTCCTGTTCATTTCTCTCCTAGTGGCTTTCTCATATTTTATTCCTTTTTAAACATTGTTTCATACCGAGAAGCTGGACTTCCTTAAATCTGTGCCCTTTTAATTTTTAGAGTTTTCCTTTGTCTCTTGTTTAACATCCCCACCTCCCACCTTTGTACTAATCACTTACCTTGTGTTGGTCTTGGTTTCTTCTTTTGGGGTTGGCCTCGTGGGTTTTTGAATAACTTTTTAACCCTATATTGCTGTGAACTTTTGTCTTTCTTATCTCTCTTTTTTTCTGCTTTCTTTTTCTCATCTTGTTTTTAATCCTTTCTTCTTGTAGTTTCTTCCTATCTCCTCCTCTCTCTCATCTGTTCTTTCTCCTCCTCTCCTTCCTGTCTACTTCTTTGCCTCTCATACCCCTGTGTATTGTCACTGGACTGTATTCCAATGTTAATGTAAGAGTGTAAGCTCCCTGCCTCCCAGGGGCTAGAGTTTACTGATACCAGATTTTACTTTTTTTGAGAGTAAAAAAGGGGTTGGGATCTAAATGTGCTGGGGGTGGGAAGCAAGCAGCATGCAAGATCTTATAAGCCTCTTTGATACTGTACCATGAAGAACTTGGCCCTTAACAGAGAGGCTCTTGGGAGGAAACTCTCAGCAGTTTTTGCTTTTTCTGAGTCACTATAAAGGAAGTGATCCCAATGTGCTTATGACCTCCCAGTGCTGCGGGGGAAGAACATTGGTTAGATTTCTCAGCTCTTATTCTTTCTTGGAATTGTGAGCTGGAATCAGTTATTTGACTATTTTGAGCTCTGATTTTTCTCATCTGCACAATGGTCTTGACAGTTCTTTAATGCCAGAGGATGTCACAGTGAATGAGGTAAAACATGTGAAAACTGCTTTGTGGCAAGACAAGTACGGAAGCCACATGAGGGTATGTTATACCATCCTTACTACAGCCTATCACATTTTGTTATTTTCTCCTGTAAAATTAGGCTGAAATCTTCTAGACCCCAAACAAAAGGTCAGAAGGGCTAGCGAGGGCTCCTAGAGGTTGAAGGGCCTCAAGATTAGAATTATGGCAATGTGACATAAAGGAAGGGGGAGGGCATTTGGAGTTAGAAAACTTGAGATACAGTTTTACTACCTTCTAGCTCTATAGCTTTTGGTAAGATTTTTAAGTTCCCTGAGCTCTGATTTCCTCATCAGAAAAATAGGGATAACCGACTTTTTATAAGGAATTAGATCATATATGCCAGTAAGATATCTAGCACAGTGCTAGACAGATGTTAGGAACTTAGCAAATGGTAACTTATTTTATGATTATCATCATGATTATAATAATCACTACCACCTTATTAGCTCCAAGAAGATCCATGTATCAAGGCTCCCCTCGAGATTGATAGAGGCCTCCTTCCTCAAGGCTAAAACCCCAGAAAGCATTGTTACCTGGTTGGGACAGTTTAGGTGAGGGCACAGCCTAGAAGCAGAGGAATGGAAAAAGTGACCTCTCATATCCTTCTAACATGAAAATCCCCTAAAGAAATATTCAATCTTCTCTTCTGTCAGAATCTGCAAATGCCATCTGTTTCCCAGCTCATCTTTACTGGTTGATGAATCAGTCCCAGGGGTAGTCAGACCTTCAGGACTAATGTGAGACTCTGTACGCATATAGCTGGGGTGTCTTGTGCTTACAGACCTCACTCTTTAAAAGAAGGATTAAACTGTACCCAATGGTGATGTCACCTAAATCCAAATGCATTTCATTTTCAGGGAAATGCCACTTTTATAAGAAATAGTAAATCCAAGGATGAGGGGATATGATTGAGCAAGCCAGGATGGCTCAGGGAACCAAATGACAGAACTAGACTTCTGATTATCAATGAGCAGGCATTAATGCTCCTAAGTCCAAGGCCAGGAGGAGTGTTCCTATGGGAACACAGCCCCAGCAGCCACTTGATATAGAGTCTAGCCCAAGTGGTTCTCAACCCTGGCTATACCACAAAATCACTTCAGTAGAATAAAAAACAAAAAGCAACAAGAACTCAAACAAACAAACAAAAACAGTAACACACAGGCTCCAGGCTAGTTAAATATCATTTGACCAAATTGGTGACTCACAAAGAGGGGTATCTTCATTCCCTACCTTGGAGTCTCACTGCTGACATTTGAGCCCTAGGATGGATAATCAAGAGTGCTTAGTGTGGTTCTGTTCAAGTTAGCCCTACCAATTACACATTAAAACCCAACCTGCAGTCTGGGAAACCCAGATTCTTGCCTCAGTTTTGTTATTAGATATGCAACTTGAGCAGCTTCCTATGCATCTTCAAATATCAGTTTTCTTCCTTGTGAAATGGGAACAATTGGGGCTTGTAAAAATGCTTTATTACCTGTGATAAGCTGGATATTTGTAAATAGGAATTATGATGCCATTTTGGCCACTGTACAGGAACTTACCAGGCATATGTATCTTCGACCTAGTCACATCTGCCTCCTCTGTTGTTCAGAATTTCATTCTTGTGTGTGTGTGTGTGTGTGTGTGTGTGTGTGTGTGTGTGTGTTCTCAGGCTCTTTCCTTTTTGTACTGGGGACATGGCTTCACAAGAGCAGTGTAGGAGCTGATATACCTTCCCAGTAGTTGGTAAGGTTAAATGAATTAAACTTGCTTAGCATCAATCCTCATATCTAGTTGTTGACATCTTCAGCTGTTTTCCTGGGCTGGTTTCCCCACTAGGAGCTAAGGGTAGACTGCTAGGATATGATTGTGTCTCTAAGTAGCAAATCCAACTTTTTCAGGCTCTCTTCCTTTGTCACTGTGCATAAAAGGAACCTTTTTTTTTCTGACTTTGAACCATGACCTGAGGAGAGCTTGCTGCCTACTTAAGGGTAGATTGTGGGCAGGCCACATGACAACTTGTTATTGATTGGAGGTGAGGCCTGTGTGACAAGGCATAGGTTTGGACAGAAAGTAAAGAGCTTGCTTAGGTGTCATCAGCAGCTGGATAATATACTTTGTTCTTTCAAATTCTTTATTTCTCTGGTTTCTGGCCTGTTTGGAAGTAGGGAGATGAAAGGATGACCTAAGCCAATCATTACTGTCATTTCTTGCCTTTCTACAGACTAGATATCATGGAAACCCAACTTCTCCATTTCAAAGGAAAGCCCATTGTTACAGAGTATGACCTGGCTTTTATATATATATTGTCTCTTTTTGGCTACAAAAAAAGATACTTGGAAAAAGCTTTTCTCCTTTATGAAACCTTCGACTCACTGTAAATTTAGAATTGGAAAGACCCATCTTAGCCAAGAGTGGCCAACTTAAATGCTTACAGGGGCCAATTAAGTGAGTGAAACAAATTGAGACAAGGGATAAGTGGGTGCCTGTGTCCAACTGGGAAATCCATGCCCCATCTAAAGACAGCAAAAGTGACTTGGATGGTTCTCATCATTAAAATGGGGCATAGTGGAGAGGAAAGCCCAGAGGGGCCAGATCTTCTAGTATTTCAAGAAAAGCCAGGAATTGGATTTTTATGTAAAACTCTTTTAAAAAAAATATTAACCAGTAATTCATATTTTTAAAGAAGCACAGTGAAAGTCAAACACTATACGTCTGTAGGCTAAATTATCTCCCAAGGACCCAGCTTGTAGCCGTTGGTCAGCCTACCTCCATACTGTATGAATACAAAGGAAACATGAGCCCAGAAAATGGAAATGACTTGCTTTCTCATGTAGGGAATTAGTGGCAAAACCAGGACTTGAACCCAGGCCTCCTGAATCTTAAGACAATTTTACTAGACAGTCTTTGTCTAGTAAGTTTAATGTCTTGGCTTCCTTTGGTATGTTTTCTGCCAAATTATTTTTTTCCTGTAAATAGGTCATATGTTCCTGTTTCTTTGTAGGCCTTGTAAATTTTTTGTTGAAAACTTGGCATTTTCAATATTATAATGTGGTAACTCTAGAAATCAGATTCTCTTCTTTCCCCAGGGTTTGCTACTCTTGATTGTTGAGGGCTGCAGTTGTACATTTGTTTAGTGACTTTTTCCAACTATTTTTGCAAGACTGTATTCTTGTCATATATAGTCGCTTTGAAATCTCTGTTCAAACATTTTATCTCATTGGTCAGCCAATAACCTGACAGATTTCCTTAAACACCTGGATTTAAGAAGAAAAGCAGTTCTATTTTCCTGCTTTTTGCAGCTTGACTCAGAACTGGAGTACTCACTTGAGACTGTGCCAGGTCATCAACTCTTCTGTCTCAGCCTTCTCCTCCTGTTTGTATGGAGATCACAAATCCTCCAGAAATACAAGCTTATGGTCCTCTGAGGTTTTTTTCTGAGCATGCATCTGGTCCTGGGCATGCGTGTTATAGTGTGACTTCCCTGGTATGCATGGTAGCCCTTATGAATCCTTATTCCCCAAAGAAACTTACTTTTTAGCTTCCTCCTTCCTGTGCTATTGGATCTCTTTGGTATTTGTCCTGTTCACAGTCCCTTATCCCAAGTGAGCATGAGCAGTGGATGTCTTGAAATCTTTCAACAGAGGCAGCCACAGCCTGGAATGCCTCTGCAGCCAGGGGTCAACCTCTGTGCTAGTCCCTTAGTGCGAAACAGATCAAAATATACAACCACAATATTGTAAAGAACAAGGCCATTATCCCCTGGCACCAGCAAGCCACACCAGGAATGTGGGCCACTCTCTCCTCAGCCACTGGAGGATGGGGGATGGTAGGAGGATAAGCAAAAGTGCTTCAATGCTCTCTCACCAAATTTTTGCTGCCCTTTTCTGCATTACATAGTCCCCTGTACGTTGCTGCAAGTTTTGAATTAGAGTCTAGAGTTCCAAAACAATGGATTCTGTCATTCATTGCCAGTTTAAGGTTGTTTCACTGGAAGAACTGATTCTTTGTGTGCCCTGTTCTATCACTTTTAGTGCTGTTGTCCCCT